AGAAGACATTTCCTGAAGCAATTCTAAGAATGATATTCTCCAGCCGCCCACTGCTTCGATTTAATGTGAAGGACAGACCTTCATCAACACCTGTCTTCGATCAATACTGCTCAAGATCAGATGGCCAGCGAGAAAAGATCAGCAGCAGGGTGGGATCTCTGGCAATGAACGAACCAACCAACCCAGCAGGAACCTATTGTATGCAACAAATATGCAGGAAGAAATGAAAGTGGATTGGATTGTGCCCATACTCTGAGAAAACCATCAAGTGACATCACACGACAGGCTCTCGAGTGGGACCCGAACGGAAAGCGGCGAGTGGGTCGTCCAAGGGTGACAGGGAGGAGGTCATGTGAAGAGGATATTAAAGCATGTGGGCAGACGTGGAGCCAGGTGAAAATGTTGGCAGAGAACCAAACGCAATGGAGACGTGCAGCTGCTGCTCTATGTTCCTCTAGGAACTAAAGGAAACAATAATAATAGTGCATTTTTCAATTCACCTATTCGTTTGGAGCTGGTATATAGGTTGTTCTATACGGGTCCTATCGAAACGTGTTGGAGGACATTAATCAAATAGATTGAGAAGCGAAATATTTTTAGGTTTCTTGTTTAGACAAACAAAATTTTATAGAATAAGCTATTAAGTTCCAGTCGAATGATTTAAGATAATTAGATTTAATCCACTTATTCACAGAGTCACATGATGAACAAGAATTTTTCATCTCCGGAAGCCAAACATTCACTTTATTTTAACATTGTATTTGTCTTTTTTACTGATTAAACCTCATGGAGGTTGTAAAGTGAATATCCATATGAAATGAATTCAACTTTATACATTTCAAGAGCCAACACACTTTCCTCATCATTCGAATGAACGCAAATGTATAAGATACCTAAACTATAGTTCATTCCATGAACAATGGAAAGCGACTGCTGTTTTTTTGGTAGGAAAACGTGAAGTAACAATCACTCGCATCACTTATCTGAACAAAGTTTTCCGCTGAAGTATTTTTTCTATCGAAATGACCAACCATTGTGCAGTATATATGCTGTCACTCTCACTTTGATATTTTTCCGGTTGTAAGGAGCAGGGGAAGTCCAGAATCTGTATGGCGTTCCACGACCTAACTGATTAAAAATGCCCATTAAATTTTTCAAAAGAATGGTTAGTGAACAAAGAATATTCACATTTTTGATAACGTGCTCTTCTTCATCAACTACTACAGCTGCATATCCATCCATAATAGTGAATGAATCAGTGTTGTCGCTGTTTAAATAACATCGAATCAATAATAGTGTCAATAGACTACAGTTCAACAGCATCAACATAACAATAAACTGAATATCAGAAAAATTAGGAAAAATAATGATACAAATTTGTGAAGTTATAATCTCTATTGAAGGCCAGGGCACTAGTGATACCTAGCTGGACTTGCTTCTTCTGTGCACAAAGCACTGGTTGTTTCACGCGAATCGCGATAGCCTTTGTCGTTTGGAATATGCGGTACCTGGATGTTTTCGGAAATTTATTCAGTTGTTACCCAGTAAATGATGACGGAGAAAGATTCTTCAATGCGGGCTGGCTTTGTGGCCGGCCGGTTTGGACCAGGCGGTTTAATATCCAAATGTTAATGGTTTTCACTACACCTTTACTTAGCCATACTGGAAGATGTAGCCGATCGAGCACGAAAAATCAACTTCCTAGAGCAACGGCCTATATAACGTTCTCCACCACAAGCGTAGTTGAGTTGGTAGCTACAATTGGAAGTGGCTAGTATGAGTACTTCATTGTTCAGTCGAGGAATTACCATCGGTCGTGTAGAACCTGATGATGAAGTTATCGGAAAAAGTATTCTTTGTTCAGTAACCGTTCTACAATCTTTCGACGAAATATATCTAAGATGAATTACGAACAAGTTATTCGGAGTTTCTATTATACTTTTAAGTCAACAAAAGAACCTCTAGTATTAAGCAACCAACCTACTGGAACAAGTTATTGACAAATCTTGGTAAAAATTTCACTTATTAAAGAGTTTCATAGTCTACTCATTAAAAGAATACTATTGAATTATTTTACACGGCATATGATGTCGAATTAAACTTGACTACTCAACCGGAAACATAAAATCACGAATTAGCTAATATCAAACCCAGTTTATAGTTGTCTCCCTTGGTAAAAGCTCTTTCCTAGGAAGTTTCATGAGACACGATGATTCAATATTTTTTCTGTTTATCAGATGCTGTCAGTGCTGTGGAACATTGAATCGTTTGTTTGTTCGAATGGGTCGTCTCCATATTCGAAGAGAGACAAGACGTCTGTTATTGCCTAATCGTGTATTGGTTGGCAGAAGATTGGAGAAATACAATCAAAAGTACTAATGTATGGTATTAATAACGTTTATTTACAGATTTGGCACTGATTTGCCATTGTAAATCTGTTTCCGTATCACTTGAAGAATAAACAATCGTATTGCCCAACTGTTTTCTGTTATTCTGCAACGGTTACAGTGTATACTGATCTGTGTATTAGGCTTAGTATTCTGAAACCAGAAATAAGTCCAGGATCTCTATAATGTGTATATTTGACAGACGCCTACACTGTTCCTAATATTACACATAGATTATTCAATGAAATCAAAAAATGGCATGAATTCCGTTACAGAAATAACTTCCATACAGTAAATAAAAACAGTGTCTGAGTCTCCCATTGACGACAATATCACTGAAGTACAAGTATAAGCAAGTACATCCAGCTTACAGGTCATGAACACACCTTCTAGATTCTGTTGTTAACCACCAATTCACTTATTTGGGAAGTTGCATCAGCCAGCGCCAACGGGTTGATCGCTGACGGGATCGCAGCATGGATACAGAAGGCTCGTTTGGCATATACCAGTTTACGCTGTCTCTGGCATAGACGTGATATCCGGCTGACTATCGACCAAAGGGCGTGTGCACTGCTCAGCAGTGCTCTTCGTCCTCCTTAATGGCTGTAAGTGAGACCCAGCCATTGAGAGTGGAAGACATGAAAAGCCTAGCTAGCTGTCTTTGATCATAGGTGTCTTCGTTCTATCTCCCGTGCGAGATGGTGGTATAATAGGGTGATCAATATTGAGGTTAGGCATCGGTCGAGTGCTAGGTAAGGAGGGGAAATCAAAAGACGAGCCTGTGGAGCTACATCGACTGAGATGGTTAGGACATGTGTTACGCATGCATACCTATCCATCCATTGCCTTCCTCGACTACGGGCAATGTTAGCTGACACAGGGTCAGGCTAGAAAAGAGCTAGTGGCGGTCAGACAAAAACATGGATTTATCAGTCAATGAAATCCACAACAGTTAGTTTAAGCCAGTCACGTAAGAAGGTGTAGACTTCCTGGTTCGGGTCCTCGGGACGGTAAGCACCAAGAGCTGGAGACAACTGGTGATATGTGCGTCGGTGGCATAGCGGTTAGGACTCTGGCCGACCATCCACATGGCTCGGGGTCCAATCCCCTGCCAACGCGTACCCGATATCAATGGTCGGCCTGTGAATTTGGGCTACCGATATCACATGCTGAAAATTCCACACTTGTAACAAAAATACGGTGTGGAATCAAGCTAAAATATAAAAAATCGTTGTCATTGTCGCCAAAGCATGCATTCCTTGTGACTTATAATACCCAATGAAACTATGTTGTTCTTCGATATTGCTATTCCTTTTGTCTCATATGTCAGTTTACTGTCTCTATTTTGCATTTCTTCTTACTTTCTTCTCTTGCTTTGTATGCTACACGGAGTGTGGTGACTTGAAATGGTTCACATGGGTGCAAAGTTTTACGTTGAAAACAGTCAGTCAGTCAGTGAAATTATTCAAAAAGTATTTCACTCAGCTTGAATAAAGACATTTACAATGCTCACTTTCACTTTCATTCCTTCCATCTTAATTGACGCTATACACACTAGACGATATTTTATCCTAATATACACACTATAATTCGACTGATTGTTACTGTGTTCTTTTCTCGTTCAAACAAGTTGTTTTGTTTGATTTTTCTTCTCAGTTTTTATGCTGACTAAGGATGAAAATAGTGGCATGTGATTAGAAAAGGAGTGAAAGTCTTCCAACGAGAAAATAATTACAATCAACGATCAATTAAATTTGTTCTGGTCATTTCCATCAATGTTCTTATGCGTGTGTGTGTGTGTGCATGTGTTTTTCATTCACTTTAGTTTTATTCAATTTTCAAATTCATCCTTTTGCTGTCCACCCTTACTGTTTCATTTTTGTTTGATTGGTTGAAGGATTTCATCATGAGCTGACATCGGTTAGAGAACCAGTGGATAACTAGCACCAGTGTACTGGACAGCTGTTTCAGTTGTCCTAGTTTGGGACTCTTCATCAGCATGAACCCACTACAGGGGTTTGATCCCAAGACCTCTTCATCAGTACGCACCTACCACAGGGTCTTTAACCCCAGGACCTTCTGATTACAAGGCGAGCTAGCTCGTAGACCATTAAGCCACTGGGATCCGATCCAATGTCCAGCCCATGAATTCTAACTTCTGCCAACTCACGATATAGCGTTACCACTTCAAAATGTCTTCTTAGATGAGTTACTGCCTCACATTTGACCTGCTGCACCCTACTGGTCACGGCTTCCGACTAGAATCCCAGGTAACTGCCTGAATAAAGCAAGTCACTAGTGAGCATCAGATTAATTTTCAAGTACTGATTTTTGTAGTTATTTTGTTTGATTGGTAGGAGGATTTCATAATGAGCTGCTGAAGAGTATCAAACTAGGACGAAACAGCTATTCATTACTCTCTGCAGGTTTTCCAATGGTTCTCTAACTGATGTAAGCTCATGATGAAATCCTCCAACCAACCAAACGAAATCCCTACAAAATCCAATACTTGAAAATTCACTTTTGTTTGTTTGTTGTTTGTTTTTGAGTCACCCACCCACGCATGCTACACTCACTCACAACCTCGGTTGAATTAACAAACAGACAAATTACTTTTGCTCAATAAATAAATTAATAGGTAAACAGTATTTTCAAAATAATAATAATAATTTTTAACTTGACTCATTGACAAGTATAAACATTCAAGGATGGTGGTACACTTAGGGCAAGAACCTTGTATCAATAGAATTCAAAAAAAAAAAATACAACGCAGAAATTTAGAAAACAAAAGGGAAAAAAACAATTAAAATTATAAAAGTTAGAGAAGTAAAGTAATCGTCCGAGAAAGGAAGACAAAAATCACTTGGAGTGTCTGTATGTGTATTGTATGATCTCGATGATAACAACGTGAAGGCCAAATAGTTTTACACTCACACACACAAGCACATACGAAGAAAGAGATAGACAGACAGACAGACAGAGTTTGCTTACTTTACAAGATCATCATCATTATTATTGCATTGCTTTACATCCCAAGTGGAACATAGTGCCTCAAGCTAGAGTTTTCAGCTTTCGGTAGCACTGATGTTTTAACTTTTACGATGTGGGAAGACCTTTCAACCCTCCTCCCCCGACCACCAACACTTTTACTCTCCTTACGACCAGCTTAGCGAGGTTGAAAAGGATCGAACGCCGGAGCACGTGTGGTTGACGAGCATTCTACCTCTCTGAACCACTGACGTACACGTGTTGTCAAAGTTCATTGGTGTAGTGAACAGCGAACAAAGAGTCCAGAAGAATAAATAGATAGATAAAATGACTGACAACTTCCTGATAATACTTGTCAACCTTGCTGAAATATCTGTCATGGTTGCTCCTGTTTAAAATATTATTTGTATGACATGGAATCAAAAGAGGAGAAATGTAACAATTTGAAATGGCCTGTCAAATAAACGAACATTCTGCTTCTTCTCTTTTAGAATAAGGTTGGAAAGAGAGGCGAGAAGAAAGAAATACGTAAATAGTCAATTAAAATAAACACACTATTATAAAGGACATAATATATGTATATATATATAACATAAAAAAGTAGATTTCTGGAGATTTAAAAATAATTTTTTTAAAAAAAAAAAAAAGAACACTAGCAGTGATTAACATTAATCACCACTGTATCCCAACAGCAAAACAAAGAAAAATTAAATTAAATAACTGACAAAATTATACAAGTATATATATTATGAGCAATGCATGTATGCGTGTAATATATGCATGCTTCCAGACAATTATCTCTAAGTATATATGCGATTTCACATGTCTCTAAAAGTGCACAGTTTGCTTTTGTTGGGCTTTTTTCGTTTTTTGCTCTGCCTTGAACATCAAAACTGTATCACCACTCTATTGTATTGTATTGTGTACTGTATTGTTTGTGCACTGGTTGTCATGGCGAGTAAATGAAAAGTTTTATCAAAAGTGTTACATATGCATATATTATTTACTGTTGTTCTTTCAACTAAAGGAAATAGTAGTGCTCGTATTAGTAGTAGTAGTAGTACAAATAACAGAATTCCTGAAAATATTCGTAGTAAAAAATATGAGAATTACGCACAAATATGGGGAGGATATTAAGTGAGCGAAGTTGTAGAACAAAGACTAAGAGAAAAAAAACAATAATAATAATAATAAAAGGATGAACAAAACAGTAAATATATTTATGTATATATATATATATATATGTGTATATATAAATATGTAAATGTCATTACCACGGTATTCAGTTGATTCTGATTCATATTATTGAAAGCCAGAAGGTAAATGTTTGATCACATAGATAAAAGTCACAGCTGTTATTTGTCATGGGAGTAACCAGATCCAGTTTGTCATAAAACTAAGAATACAGATGTTATCATTCTCGTCTATAGGATAGGGGAAAAACACAACCAACAAACCAAAATAAATTCGTACTCATTTTAAGCCATACTAGTGCACAATAATGTTGAATTCAAACATCGAAAATGTTTAATTCAATTTTAGATTTCCCAGTCGATTGAGTGGACCGAAGTGCTCAGTCTCACGTTGACATGTTGGCTACTTGTGTAGATGCCTTGACGAGCACTTCGGTTCAACCATACAGTCGGGGAATCTAAAATTGAATTAAATAATTAATAAAAAACCCTTGCACAAGAGACTTGGCGCGTCATAAAGAGCATCTCAAACAAACTACAGACCTTCATCGACAGTTGTCGTCGCTCACTACTGAAGATCAGATGGCCAGCCAGAAAAGATCAGCAACAGAGATCTCTGGGAGCGAACCAACACAGCAGGAACCGATTGTGAAGCAAATAGGTAGGAAGAAATGGAGGTGGATTGGCCATACTCTTAGAAAACCAGCAAGTGACATCACTAGACAAGCCCTCGAGTGGAACCCGAAAGGGAAGCGGCGAGTTGGTCGTCAGTGCAAGGGTGACTTGGAGGAGATCATATGAAGAGGAGATGAAAACGTGTGGACAAACTTAGGACCAGATAAAGCCTCTAGCATAGAACCGAACGCAATGGAGATGCACGGCTGAATCCCTATGTTCCTCTAGGAATTAAAGGAAACAATAATATAATAATAATATACAAGAGGTAGCTCTTTTGTGGCCCAAGTGGTCAAGTGGATAACACTTTCGCGTTTGAAGCTATGGGCACTGGGTTCCAGCCTCGGTGGGAACAGCATCACTGACTCACTGGAGAATGCAGGCATATCCAGTTGACGAGTTCCAAATAGGATGAAATGCACATTGTCCTGAATTCCACTGCTAGTCACTATCCGTAAACATACATGTCACTATATAAGCTAGAAAATCCTGAATAATGTCACAGTCCTTAAATCCTTAAACGTACTTTAGGGAATAATGTACCTGGTTTCTCTTTGAGTAGCCGCAAAATATGTAGTGTAACTCTGTGTACACACAGAGCTCATTTTAGTTTATCAATCAGTGTATTAAAAAAATGAAAATACCGATTGATTCATGAAGAAAATTAAAGAGAATTCAGAGAACAAAATTTTCTTTGTCGACGAAATCATCTTCACAGGCTGTACAGTCGTATTTATATTTACCACAAATGTATAGTAGTCTATTAGTGAGTAACATGGAGGGGTGACATAATTATTATATAATTACTCAGAAGTGGCTTCAAAAGTAAAAATAAAACTTGTAAATTACACAGTACTCAACGGCGCAGAGGAGGAAAGAGTTACAGATTTGATAAGGTCTATCTTTGCATAAATTTATTAGTTTAGTTAGTCTTCTATTGTCTGAAATATTCAGCAAAAAGTGACTATATAGCATGTTCTTTAGAATAAGGCGGCATCTAACTAAACTCCTAGACAATTCACCTAATAGAGTCACATATTAGAAAGAATTTTAACTGAGAATTGACTTACTGCAATGCTACTGCCTTAAGTAAGGATGCATTCGGGCAACTGTAGTTGATGAGGCTTGCACAGAACGTAGTTTTAAGGGTCCTGCAAAATAAGGGAAGTGAAATTAGAAAAAGATTTCACAACTTGCTTACATGTATAAAATAAACAAAATTTTGTACGAATAAAAACTGAGTTCCTCTTTTTGAACGATTTCATCTGTTAATCGACAAGCTGTTGCAATACGCCTGCTATCAGTGAAATGACTTATAAAAAACACAGAATCTCTAAAAAAACACCGAACTGAGACATATATCAGACAAAACAAAGTAGTAGTTCAATTTCTCACCTCATTGAAATCTCACCAAGTCAAACCTAATGCTAGTAGACGTTAATTCAGACAACATCACAGCTATTGTGTATCAGGATTCACAATCACTCTGGACTATTCTTGTCTGCAATCTACGACTTAGTCTGAAGTCAAAAGAGTTTTGACTTAAGCAGTGAATGACTTTATTCACTGGCATTGCTTCTTTTACTACACCACTTCTCTGAAATCAGAAAAAAACCCTCAAATTCTGAATACCACTGGTTAAAGAAGCCCCATTTAACTTAATCGACCAATAATGCAATTGTAAAATGTCTTTTCAACGATTTCTTCTTATGATGCTGTGAGATTCAATAGTAGTTTAAATAGAAACATTAGATTCTTCTTATTTACAAGATATCTGCTTGATAAGACTTTACAAAGAAAGCCATTTGTATGTTTCGCATAATTTATGGTAACAAATTGCAATTAAGGGAAGGCATAAATATTCTTATACATAATTTACATAATTTAGTCGGATTAAAATTAATGGTTTTAAAGTAAAGAAAAAAATGCTTATATCAGCCTATTAATACAGACAATAGATAGTGGATATGAATGAGACTTTTTGAAAAAAAAGATGCTATAGCGTATTTGAGCCTTAAGACGATATCAGGATTAAATATGCAGTGTAAGAGTTGAATTGAATCACTGCGGTAGAACATAATTCCATAATATATATACACGTTTACTTTGATATAAAACGCTGTGATACAGTATTAATATCTAAATGACGTTCCCAGCACAGCTGATTGTTCATAACCTTATCAGTGTAGTAAAACATCGATATTAATACTGTATCAATGTACATAGTATGAAAGAAACTTATTTAATATTATATCAATAAACCAGTAAGACTGAAAAATACCTGAACTGCCATCTTGTACAGTTGATGAATTATTATATTCTAGGATATTTACAGCGTCTGCAAGTGAAGACGAATGTGAAGTCATGGGGTAATTATGACCAACTGAATTCATGTTAGGCGCATAATTACTAACATTTCCATTTGATAGATGAAGATTGGATCCACTTGCACCAATATTTCCAGTTGTATTTCCACCCAGGAGAGCAGCTGCTACAGCAGCTAACTGGTCATGACCTTCAAAAGTACAGAATTGTAATTAGAACTCTTAAAAAATATGCTCACTTATAGTTCATTTAAGTGAATCAGTCAGTTAGAGAATAAGGGTTAGAAATGGTAAATCTCCCAAGGAAAACTTGATAAAGACTAAAGTAACCTGTACCACAAGGGAAGATACGCCTTCATCAACCTGAAACCAGTGTGGAAATCTTTCGCACTCCACCTCAGCATAAGGAACAAGATTCGGATTTTCAGCACCAATGTGAAGTCAGTCAGCCACTCCTTCTATATGGGTCAGAAACATGGCCAGTGTGTTACGAAAAGGATTTCGAACAGGTTACAGACATTTATCAACAGCCGCCACTTTCATTGCCTCCATAATGAAGATCAAATGGCCAGCTGGCCGGTCAGAAAGGATTAGCAACAAGAAACTCTGACCGGCTGGCTGTCTGGGAACAAACCAACCAAGAGCCAATCTCTCAACAAATATGTAGGAGAAAATAAAGATGGATGGCCCGGGCATACGTTCAGAAGTCCATCGAATGACGTCCAGCGCAGTGGAATCCCAATGGGAAGCGACGAGTAGGTCGTCAGTGGGAGGGTGACATGGAGGAGATCGTGTGTAGAGGAGGAGGAGGTGATAAATTATGGGCAATCGTGTGGCTGGCCAGCTGAAGAGGACAGCAGAGAATAGAAGGAAGTGGAGATGTGTTGTTGAAACCCTATATTCCACTCGGAACCCATGGGAATAATAATAATAGTAACCTGTGCCGCTAGATGTTTAGGTCAAAACAGATCTACATAACGGATGTCACTATCAATGATTAAATTACTTGTTTAAATCCATTTATATAAGAACTAAGCGCCAACTTTAAAAGTACAAATATTTTCTGCAAAACACAAAACCAGATCCCTTTCACTAACTTCACATAATTTTAGTATTGTTTCACGGTTTAACAGAGGTGATGTTGTTAAACCATTCAGATTACAGATTACAGAAATTAAGGATTTCCAATAAGAAAAAGTTAGTTCGGCAAAGTTCTTTACTACAATAAATTTCAAACACTGTTTGAAAAAAAAGAATTAATAAATCACTAAAGACAGATGTCAAATTTCAGGAAGCCTGATTTGTTTATCCAACTGACATATGCATCAAAGACTTCAGTCTGTCATCATCACGATCATTGGCTGATTAAGCCTGGCAATCAGGAATTGATCAGTTGCCCCATTCATAGCCCTACATGACAGTCATCCGTATCCAAGTCAACAACTATCACATGATATTATTTTCAAGACACCCTGTAGCTTTTCATTCCTACAAGCAATATTCAACTGTATGACCACTTTTGCTTCTGAGCAGGAACCCAGTCCATCTACAGTCCGAAAAAGGTAATTTCACATTTCGAACATTTCATATAAAATTTATAATTCAGGCTATAATAAAAAGACGCTGAAAAATCGTTTAATCATTTCTATTCTCCTGAACTTACTAGCTGTTTGTAAGCTAGAACCGATTGGTAAAGACAATCCGGAAAGTCCATTCCCGCTTAAACTACCGGCAATTTGACTTAAAGGTAAACTAAGATTAATCTGTCCATTGTTTGTTGCCGATCCTGTACTAGCGGCAGCAGCAGCTGACAAAGCTGCATTAGCTGTTAAAGGATACAATAGTCCAGATAAATTAGTATTTGGTAAATAAGTGGTTAAATTCGTTGAACTGAAAGACGGAAGAGAATGAGATAATTGATTATTTGAAATGGAATGCACTGAAGTCGCTTGAGGCAAACTTGAGTTTACTGATCCAGGAAGTAAACAATTTGTTGTTAATGATCCAGGAAGCACTTGTGATTGAATCTGAGGTAGAAGATTATTCGAAGAGTATTTATTCGATGGAAGTATATGAGCAGCAGCTGCTGCTGCGGCTGCTGCAGCCGCCGCTTGATGATTCAGTACTGTGAGTGACTGATGCTGTAGGATAAGCTGTTGATGCTGTTGAACCTGCTGGATATGAGCTTGCTGACGATCTTTATCTGAAATGTGATAAACGCAGAAACAAAGAATAATAGACTACTTCTCCAAATCATGAATATTTTCACCAATAATTTTCCTGTTTGTTTAATCAAACCCAGTAGTAAATTAAAAAAAAGTTAAAAGAAAACCACAGTGAACATATATAACTGAAAAGTATTGAGAAAAGTGAGTGAATGCAAAACGCAAACATTCGTGCAGCAAAACAAAAATTAGCGTGCAAAGGTTAGGCAGTACATTAGGAGGAAAAATCACATCAAGTACAGTGCAAAATTCTACTTCCACAAAATAGGCTCGAATTATATTCTTTTCTAAGAAAACACCACACTACGTTAACAGTTCAACAAAATGACAACAATACGACATACATTGACCAAGAACATCTGTGTTATACCTTTCGTAGCTAAAAATAAGAACTTGCTATTCATTCAATCACACGGTTAAACACTTCCAGATAAAAGCTAAAAGGTGGTTTGTTTGCATAAATAACATCTAAAAACATGTACGGTAGTATAATATACGTTGATGATGATTACAGTGGACTGCCATTACATCTTGGTTGTATATCTTTTAAATTATTCTACCTGGATATCAATAAAGACTTATAGAGTGTGCATGCTACCACTTAAAAACATTTTCATCAAGATATTTCATCCCTGTTGACAGCAACCGCCACTGAAATAAACAAAAATGAGGCTAGTGATTTTGCGCGTAATCAGAATTCATCTAATCTATGCAAACTGTCAAGTATTCTAATGTTTGAGTACAACTATGGTTCTCATACATAGTAACTTTGGTCAGATAACCTTTCAAGGCGAGATTAAAGAAAACTATGATGTCTTGACGTAAAAACAAGCAGTCTACTTAACCATTTTTTTGTATTCCTTTACGCCCCTAAGTGGAACATAGGGCTTTAAGTTAGAGGCTTGTAGTTTCGGTAGTAGTGGTGTTTATTTTTACGGGATGGAGTTGCTAGCCTCATACGAACCCCAACCTTCCCTCTTTACCAGTCTTATTACTGACTTTGCGAGGTAAAGGAGTGCGTCAGTGGCTGGGGATCGAAACCCGAACGAAGTGAGGCGTGGTTGTCGAGAATTCTACCGCTGTGCCACCGACGTCCTTAGCCGTTGGTGATTGATAACTTTTGTGAATTGCTTGACAAACGATAAATAGTGATCACCGTTTATTCGTATCTTTCAAGGCGTTTTGTTCTTCATAGCACATATTGAACCGATTTCGTATGAACGCGAAGGGAAGATCAATTACAGATGAAATGGTTTAAATACTTTGAAATAATTACTAAAATATCAATTGTTTAAAATCATTAGATGTTCAGAAAACACTGGTTATGGTAATACTTTCTGTTGCTGTTAATATAGATAAAAGCCATAGTAGTAAACGTGCAGGGCATACAAGTAGCACGTGAAAGAATTTCGAAGACTTATTGTACAGAGTATCCATGTTTAAAGCGACATGCGTATATAATGATAAGCAGCTCACCAGTACACTATTCCCTGTAACGAGTATTCTGTGTGTGCTGTTTATCCTATATTTAATTTCGCCATTTCATAAGTATCCAAACGGTATTATTAGTTTTAGTTACAATAGCCAATTTTGGTTAGCCTAATCGCTTCAATAACTTACTGAACAGAAGTAATAATAATAATAATAACGCTTCATACCACAGATGCTAAATTCATCAGTAATATAACACCTATAATTCGGAATACAAAATCAAAAAGTATTGAATAGCTTTCGTGTGAAAACCAATACATACTAGTTTACATATTGTGCTATTTCTCCAAACAAGTCATATATGCTTGAATGAAAGAGAAAATATTCTCAAGGTAAATAAATGTACAATCAAGAAGTTAACAGCGTACTTTAACCACATAGAACTCTGACTTTATAAGCCTTTAGTTTGAATAGTCTTATATTATTCTCTTTTTCAGTCGAAAGTTTCCTGCATTCACACCAAGTAACCATGTGAGAAACTCGTCAGAAGATATGAAAGTCAATGGCTTGTTTATAGTTAAGTTAGTTTCTGGCCAATGCTCCCGTGATTAATTTACAAACAGATAGAGTGTGGTTGACCTAAATTCTGACTGTGTATTTGCATTGATTATTGATATTTCCACAGTTAAATTTAAAGAAAGCAGATGATTAATGTAAGCAATTGAAGGTGGACAGTCCTTACTTCAAGACAAGAAACAATTCCAAACACAATCCAATGGTTTTCAAGTATTGGTTTCTAGAGATTTGATTTGATTTGATTGATTGATTGATTACAGGATTTCTTCATGAGCTGACACCGGTTAGAGAACCATTGGAGAACCTTCAGAGACAGCTGTTTCCGTTGTCCTAGTTCGGTACTTCTGGTGGGAAGTCATGACCAGTAGGGTACAGCAGGTGAAACATACTTGCCAACGATAACATTGGCTAGCGGTCACGCTATGTCGTGAATTGGCAGAAGTTAGAATTCATGGGCTGGACATTGGATCGGGTCCCACTGGTTGAATGGTCTACAAGCTAGCTCGCCTTGTAATCAGGAGGTCCCGGGGTTAGATACCCTGTGGTAGGCGCGTACTGCTGAAGAATCCCAAACTAGGACAACGGAAACAGCTGTCCAGTATTCCCCGCAGGTTTTCTAACGGTTCTCTAACCGATGTCAGCTGATGATGAAATCCTGTAAGCAATAAAATGGCTCACATATTTCGTGAAATAAGCTACACATTAAACAGATATTCAGTGAAATGAAGATATTAACAGCCTTCTAAAGTACATATATAGATCTAGGAATCAGAATATAAATATTTGTGAGACACATTATTAGACCGTATGAAAACTCAACTGAGGATTGATTATATTACACTACCATAGTTATAATCATCAGGCTGAGAACTGAACTGAACTTACTTGTCGGATCTGTCATACGCTAAGCAGGACGAGAATACATGTGGCAATGTAACAGTGATAGTCGACAAAGTTATTGCATGGCGATAAGGTTAGAGTCAACTTCTGATAAGATCACCATGGTAACATCTAATTATCGAATTTAGTTTTGATTACTACCTTGGGATCTAGTAGAGTTTAGAGTTACAAGTGCTATACAATGTATGTAGATAAATCCTAAATTTGTAAAGTAAGAAGATTAGTCATTGATCAATACTCTGATTGAGTAAACGTAAACAAAAAAAAGAAACAAAAGCAGGCAGAATAATTTTCTGCATAAACTATACTGTGACAACTACAAAAAGAAAGTGAACTATATTCATCAAAATCATTCAGTGCGTTTTATGTGATTGTTATCAGATAGACAGATAGATAGATAGATTGATAGATAGATAGATAGGTAACATAAACACAATCATACAAAATCGATGGGAATAAACTAAAAGCGAAATCCCAAATCCCAATGAATTAATGTGATCTCATATGAATAGGCATACAACGTCAAGCGAACAACACTGATGATATAGTGAAACATGCACTGTAAGAGACCTTCACCTATGATCAGATAATATTCCAGCATTCTGTATGAATTACAACAATACATGTTTATATATATATACATATATATGATCAACAAAGGCTGACACATGCATTTTATTATTACCACTCACGATTCAACGTGATTTCTGAATTATCATTTGGACTGTGAGAACACAATATCACATGTCCATTTAAGTGTTGCTGAAAATCCTCCTCCCTGAATGTTATCTCATTTGATGAATTAATTGAAGAAGAGAAAATATCACGTTGATTTACAGCACGATATGTACCATTGATAATTGCTAATTCCATAAGTTGACGTTTTTTCACCTGATCTTCACCATCAGGCTTTTATATTTTTTTATTTTAATAAAACATAAAATTGAAAAAAAATTAGGAATCAAAAATAGCAATAATATAAATGTTAACTTGTATAAAATGTTCATTCAAAAACGCGTGCTAAGATGTCAGTAAATTCTGCTCATCGAAACGGTGACTGAGCGCTTTTCACTCGAAATGTCATTATGAAATGAAATTAATGATTTATTTGCCTATGAAAATGTCTATTTTCAATGAGAAATCAAGTGGAATAAATAGGCTACATGTTTTGATCTCAGCTCATAATGTGGAAGACATATCTTAAAAATGAGTATTGACAGACTAACTAGGATGTTAATATGCAGAACCTTTTTTAAGAGATTTGCAGTTACTTGTTATTGCTGCCTCTGAATGGGTTTCTTTGCCCTTCTAGACATTTTCAAAGCCGATTTCACTGTACAACAACACTAAAGACATCCACCTAAGTAGGAGATTTTCTCTATCATTCTTATTTCTATTAATGCAGATGCCTTACTATAACTATAAAGTTGTACTTATGTAAGCGGCACTGTTTCGACTACAGGCAACACGAATATGGATGTCAAAGCAAGAAAAACTACCTACACTAGCTTGAAATCAGCTTGGCGTAAGATGAGATTGTTAGTCTCACGCTCAACTTTCCTTCTCTACCGTGGTTTCTATCGGTTTAGCAAGGTTTTTAGGAGGGCATCTGTGGCCGGAAATCGAACCCTGGACCAGATGAGGCGTGGTTGGCGAGCCTTCTACCGCTGAACCACCAGTGTACATGATTTGTTGTTATTAGATGGTTGGAAGCCCTGGACCTAGACTTCATGCTTGTTGGCACAGGTCAGTAAAGGCTAATCTGCATCATAATTTGGAGTCGAACCCGTATCACCCGGTGCTTCAGTCAGAGACGTTACCACTGCACTATTCAGACAATCCAAAGGGCCAACTAAAGGGGACTTCAGAGGTCACTGTTAAATGCAGAAGTTCTGGTGAAGCCATTTGTTCCACTAGGAATCACAAGGGATAATAATAATCTATTGAATAAAACAGTCAGGTAGTAAGAACTTCTTCAGACTGTTTTAAAATGGACTTTCATTCACTTATCTCATTTTCCAGTAAGACAACATCCTTATTCAGAAGTCTGTCACAGCTGTTTCAGTGTGCC